GTACCACTGTATAATGAAAGTTCTTAAGTCCAGTCTAAAATCATGGCTCTCTCCAAAGAGTTAATATGACATTGGTGTTTTAAAAATAAAACCTTTTAGGAAAAAAACCCACTTCTCTCAAATGGGTTACTATGGTGAACAAAGAATCAGAGTGAATTAAAATGAAAATTATCAGTGAAGACAATGTTATAGCTAAAGCATTAGAAAGCATTAGATTAGTGGTGAAGTACCCCAACAGCTAAATGCTTCCATAGTGACTCAGCCAAAGGAACACTTGAATAAACAAAAACTGACAAGACTATTTGTTTTAAACTCTTTTAACAAGGTCTTCTACAGATTATATATAAAAATTAATAACAGTGGAGTCCTTGGAGTTCTCTGAGCTAATTATACTATTAATAATAGGCCCAGGTGGACCATTAGAATGTTCATATTATTTGTTATGAGGGGGACAATAAGGGAAAAAGTACTCACTGTGTATGCTAGTTATTCTAACAAGTCCAGTCTAGAGAAAATCCAATTTTCCCTTCCATTGCATTTCCTTATTCCTCACAGACTATGAACACATGACAAATATCTATATTCTCACCAAAAATGCTTGGAATTTCACACTTTCAGAGTGAAGCCAAAATAAACACACATCCTCTGAACACACATTATATTCTTCTTCATAACAATGCAAACTAATTAACCAGCAAGGCCTTTTGATCTGTAAGCTTAGAGTAGTCAGGAAGGTGGCTCTAGTTGCTAAATTATTTTTATAATAGGAAGGTAAAATACTGTAATTAGAAATGGGTTTTTACTGATCACTGGACTACGGGCATCCACAATCTTGCTGCTTTTGTCAAAATGCTGCTGCTTTCTTGCTGCTACTCCACCCTCCTGACTGCTTCATTGGACAAAACACATATTGAACTATACTAACCAGCTGGCTTTTACTTGACTTATCCCAAAATAAGATCTGATCCACTGCATTTATAAGTACAGGTAGTCCTCGTTTAGCAACTGCCTTATACAGCAACTGTTCACAGTTGCAACAGAGATGAAAAAGTAACTTTGCGACCAATTCTCGCATTTACAACCTTTGCAGGCCTGTAAAGCAAAGGAAAGCTGAAGTAAGATCCTAAGCACAGTCATGGTTTCATTTCTTGACTGCTTCACTTAACAACCAAGTTGCTGGTCCCAACTGTGGTCGCTAAACAAGGACTACCTGTAGTCCAAAGATACTCTCTCTTTTTCTTGCACGTTTTGAAATCTAACATTTCGTAAAGGTACTAGTTAAATTAGACTGACTTCATTTAGAATGGAAATTTGTTTCTTAGATTCTCCTATTGTCCCTTTATCCCCTTTCTCTACCTCTTTCAATTCCCTCCCCTTTTTTTACTTGAGCATGTGATTTTAAAATATTTCTCACTAAAACCCTTCTCATAGTTGTTATACACCATTAGTTGTTATACACCATTGTCCATCATGTAAAGCAACCAGAGACTGAATCCTGGATCTTTCTGTATGAGGAACAGATACTTATCAATAAACTACAACCCCTTCTTAAAGCATAAGAACATAGGAAATATGTTAATAAGTTAGATTATTTATGTATTGAGATCATTATTATCTACTTTGACTGCAGCCAGTCTGCAGAATCTCAGCCTTAGGGTTCTTTCTCATAATCCTTTTTTTGGGATGCCAATAAAAAGCCCCAAGACTTTCCTCATGCAACATGTGCATTCTGCCACTAAGTAACATTCCTTTCTATCTTCAGCAGCCAGGTGCTAGCTTTTAAGAGAACAAGAATTTGTGTCTGGCCATACCATGTGGCAAAATAAATAATTAATAGTTGAGAAGCAGTAAATGAACACTTGGAGCCTAAGAGTGATCTGGATGTAGTCATTGCCCTGGCAATGTAGAAATCATGTGCCTTGATACTTTAAAGTAAAGGGCAGCATTCCATTATATCTGAAATTTCTACAGGAAGGGGTAGAGGATTCTATATGCTGACTTAATATATAAATATGTAAAATGCAACTGAAGTTACTAGTTTAAACCAAAGTAGCTTAAAGTAGTTTCCCACACCTGTCCTCTTGGAGCCTTTTTCAAAGCTGTACCTAACACTGGGAAACTATTCTGAATCACAAAAGCTTCTTGTGGGAGGAGTTAAGGAGTTAAGTGAAAAAAATGTAATTCCACTGATCTCCTTCCACTGGATGCCTCTTTGATCCTGAGACACTGTGCAGAAATATATGTTTACGTAAGAAGCGAATTGTTAGCATGTTTTTAAATATTTGTATCAAGAACTTCAATAGCTTTTTAATATAAATAAAACATACCATAAAAGTGCTTCAAAAGGGAGTAAATGTAAGATTCATTTCAGACAGTTAACACATGAAATCATGAATAAAATAAAAAAAATAATTCCAGCAAAAAAATAAAATTTTCATAAATTTTAATGCTGGGTGAAATATCCAGCTTTTCTCCTGGAATTTTTCAAAAATTGGGAAGGGAGGGAAATGAATTTCTTTTTTAAAAGAACACTTTGTTTATTTAATGGACTCAATGTACTATGTATATTTTATAAATAACCATGTTTGGAACTTGGGAGATTTAACAGCTGTCTAATAACTTTGTGATTTCACATCTGTCTGTGGCCTTAATTTTGGCAAAACTAATTCCCTACTGATATTACTAGTAAGGGACAATAAATTGTTGTAGAAAAGTTACTCCTTAAAAAAAATAGCAAAGACATTTTTATGCTGTTATTCTGTAGACATCCATGGACGCTTTATACTACGTATTTTAGTATCTAGAGATGAATAAACAGATTGATCTTTTCTTAATATTCTTTAAAAGAAACAAAAATGTTCTGGTCATTGTACTTACCATTCCATGATTCAGCCAAGTTGGTATAAAATTATCAAGGAGTTTGGGATAAACAAGTTCTCTGTCATAGATATAGATGCTCCAAAACATTATCACAACAAACTGGGGTAAACAGAGAAGAATATATACATGTATATAAATATGCATTTTTATGTATATAAAGTCACATTTTGATTGTAAGAATTACATTTTAATGGTATCAACCATCAGCCAGTTACTACTGTTCTAAGTATACTAGCTGCGTACACTTTTAATATACAGAGTAGTTTAAATCTAGGATGGCTAGCTTTTATACAGGTAGTCCTTGCTTAACAATGGTAATTGGGACCGGCAACCCCATTGCTAAGCGATGAAGGCAGATGCAGCAGTTCCAATTGCCGTCCTTAAGCGAATCCCATACGGTCGTTAGGCAGGACGTCATGTGATCTCCATTTGCAAACTCCTGCTGGCTACTCAGTTGACTTTGCTTGTTGGAAGCTGGCACTGAAAGTTGCAAATGGAGATCATGTGACCGCGGGATGCTGCGACCGTCGTAATTGCGAGCCAATTACCAAACACCTGAATCGCAATCAAGTGACTGTGGGGACATTCCAATGGCCACAACTACAAGGACTGATTATAAGTCTCCTCATTCAGCGCTGTCATAACTTCAAATGATCGCTGAATGACTGGTCATTAAAAGAGGACTACCTGTACTGTCTCTTCTCTAGACAGTAACAGGGGGTCAGATGAGAATTCTGCTATAGAAATGTTCTGGAATATTACATAAAAATTCAAACAGATAGATGTAACATTATGGTGTGATCTACAGTTTACTATCCTACTTGATATATTTTTTAATAGTATCTATATATGCTAAATCTTAAGCAATATTTTACTAAATTTCAACTAAATAGGGCCAGAGAAAATTGCTATGGGGCACAAGCTGTCCATTCCCTTTAAATTGTCAAATTCTATGTTAGAAAATACAGATTTTAATATACAGTCTTCTTTTCTAGTGTTAACTGCACCCAATAGTTTAATAGCTAACATAGTTTACAAATAATGTTTTCAATCAATAACTAAGTACAGGTAGTCCTCAACTTAACACCACAAGTGGGACTGGAACTTCTATCACTAAGCAATGTGGTTGTTAAGTAAGTCGTGCCTTTTTTGCAGCAGTCGTTAAGTGAATCACCGCCGTTATTAAGTGAGTCATGCGATTGTTAAGCAAATCCGGCTTCCCCCATTGACTTTGCCTGTTGAAAGTCCCTTGGGAAGGTTGCAAATGGCGATCACATGACTCCAGGATGCTGCAACTATCGTAAATACATGCCAGTTGCCAAGTGCCCGAATTCTGATCACATGACTATGAGGAAGCTGCGACAGTTGTAAGTGCAAGGACCGGTCATATGTCACTTTTTTCAGCACCATCATAACTTCGAACAGTCGTTAAACAAATGGTTGTAAGCCGAGGACTACCTGTAATCAAGAAGCTGCCTTATACTAGGTCAGATTATTGTATACTTTGCTTAGTACTAAGTGTCAATAGTTTTCAAACATATCAGACAAAATTACTTGCTACATATTTTTTATTGATCAGGGAGCTTTCTGTATGTGTTCTAGTCTTCACCTGTAATCCTAACTATTCTCCCAAACAGTATAATCAGTTATGCCTTAAAATACAGAGATAGCATCCAAATTAATATAATCTTCCAGCTCCCTCCACCCATATTGTTGGATTACTATAACAAGTACTTCTTAACTCTTGATATTCATTACTGTACTATCATCCTGTACTGTGTGCAACTAGAGTTAGATTTTGAACTAGTTTTCTCTAAACCACAAATAACCCATTAGATCTGGTGCATTAGTGCCATGTTGAACTCACTGAATCTTAGCAGATTCAGCCCTCTAAGCAGGAGTTCCTCTGTACCATATTGTATTTTACAACTATCACAGTTTCTGTGTGCCCAATGCAGTTTACATTGAGAATAGCCATGAACAAAGAGCTTGGGAAATATGTGGGCCCTGTATACCCTAATATATATAATATATAAGATGTATATATAAAATATATAGAATATAAAATATAATATAATAACATAATAACCATGGGATTTATCATCAATATACAGATGATACCCAATTATACATCTCCATCCCAGGTGATTTGAGTGACTACACTTTTGCGGTGCCTGGAGGCTGTGGGGGCCTGGATGGGGAACAAGATGCTTCAGCTGAACCCTGGTAAGATGGAGTGACTCTGGGTTGGGGGCTCCTCTGTATCCAGGAGTTTACCATCTTTGGTTCTGGATGGGGTTGCACTACCCCAGACAGACCCAGTGCATAATCTGGGAGTCCTCTTGGACTCACAACTCCTGCTTAAGGAGCAGGTGGCAGTCGTGGCCAGGAGAGCCTTTGCTCAACTACGTCTTGTGTGCCAGTTAACCCTTTCCTGGACTGGAGGCCCTCTGGTCAGTCACTCATGCCCTAGTCATCTCCCGTATAGACTATTACAATGCGCTGTATGTGGGTGCACAATGGTGTGAGGGAGGGTTAAGAAGGGTAAGCAAGAGGCACAGGCTGGGGAGGGTATGAAGGGGTGCATGAGAGGTGCGGCACAGGTCAGGTGCACGAGAGGCACAGCGTGGGTTGGGGAGGGTTGGGCAGGGTGTGGAGGTATGTGAGAGGCACGGCACTGGTCGGGGCAGAGAGGGGGTGAGGGGGTGCGCAAGAGGCACAGTGTGGGCCAGGGAGGGTGCACAAGAGGCACGGCACAGGTCGAGAAGGGTGCATGAGGGTGCATGAGAGGCATGATATGGGTTGGAGTCAGGGAGGGTACAAAGGGTACATGAGAATGCAGTGTGGGTTGGGGAGTGTTCATAAGGGTAAATGAGTGGCTGGCACAGTGCAAGCACAGAGAGGCTGGGGGAGGGTGCATGGATCAGGGAGACTTACCCCAGTGACTTGCGACCTTCCCTGCCAGCTTCCCCACTGACTTTCTGGTGAAGCCAGCACAGAAGGTTGCAAATGGTTATCACGTGATTGTGGGGCACTTGGCAACCAGTCGTAAGTGTGAACAGGTTGCCAAGCACCCAGATCACGATCAAATGACTGCGGGGGTGCTGGGACAGCTGGAACCCCGAGGACCAGTTGTAACCACCATTCGTTCAGTGCTGTTCTAGGGCACTGGGCACTATTGGGAATGGTCGCTGACCGAATGGTCGTAGGTTGAGGACTACTTGTATTATGTACCTACACAAACATTAAAATACAGCAAATTACTACTAAATATTATCCTGTGGAATTTTCTACTATAAAGCATAATTCATGCTTTCTTTAGTGATGGCAGGTTACCCAGGTGCTGAGGCAGCAAAGCATATTCAGTCCATGGCAATATCACTTCCATGACTGACAGATGGTACATTTTTTACTGCAATATTTGCTTTCTGCCAGACATAATGACACCTGTATAGTCTGAATAGTTCCACTTTGATTCTTGAACATTCATCCAGAAGACTGGAAGAAGGGGTCATCTATGTGCTTTTTGGCAAACTATGGAATAGCAACCATGTTGCTGTTAGCGAGCCATAGCTTCCACCTTGCTATTTTCCTATGAATCCTATTTTCCTGTCAGTGTTCTTCTGATAGGGAAAGCCACAAATGCTGAGTCTAGCCGACCAGGAGCCCTGAAAATCTCTGAATATTGTCCTGGGCTTCTCTGTGACTTCCTGGAACATTTTTTTTTTTTTTTTTGAGCTCTAGGAGTGATTTTGACCACACAATCCATTTCAAGATTATGCCTCTGTCTCTAGATTGATGGAGCCCCAGAGCTTTAGAAATGGCACAGGACCAGGTTATCTGAGGAGCCATCTCGTCCCCATTATATCCACCTGCCCCACTCAGTACGGCAGAAGGGACATGTTGTGGAACCCACCAGTCAAGGAATTTCAGCTGGCGGGGTCTAGGAAGAGGGCCTTTTCTGCTGTGGCCCCTGCCCTGTGGAACAGCTTACCACCTGAGGTGTGGGCTGCCCCCACTCTCCTGGCCTTCCGAAAAAGTGTGAAAACAGGGCTATACCAGATGGCCTGGGGGCCTGATGGTGGTTTGCACTGTTGGAATTGGCTGGTGGGATTATCAATACTGCTCCCCTCATCATCTTGAATTGTACATAGTCTTTTTATATAGAATTGTTATTAGTTAATTTTAATATG